AAAAATTGTAGCCTATGTGTTATTCTGATGTATAAGCTATAGCCTATGTGTTATTCTGATGTATAAGCTATATTGTGGTAAAGTTTCATTCAAATCCATTCAGTAGTTTTTACGTGAAAGAGTAACAAACATCCATACATCCATACTTACAAACTTTCGCCTTTATAATAGTAGTAGGACTAAGTACTGAGGAAAATTAAAAGTGTGGTGATAACGGATAAACTTAATTATTTTTAACTGTTATCTTTAACCTAGTTGCCATACGTAGAAATTATGGCAAGCCCATTTTTCTTGGTGAGAATCCATAGTCTAGCAGCGGACTCTCAATGACTGTTGATGAAAATGTACTAGGTACTAAACGAGTGTACTTATAATTAATAGGGACAGGAAGAGGAAAAGGAGAATTTGCTACTGTCGTCTACGATCAATGCAATCTTTTCGATAAAGACGATATTCGAAAGAAATATAACAAAGGCTTCTTAGATCATGTTTACTTCTTTAAGACGTCAATTTATGCAAAACCTCTTTTGATATCATTTTTCACTCAACCTTTTTGTGTTTTCCTTGGTAATTTTCTTCGTTTCCATTTTTCCACTTCAACACTACATTAATTGTCATATGATGTGCATTCCTACTCAAACTACCAAGATTTTAGAAGAAAAATACAAGCAGCACGAAAATCATAAAATAATTAAAAGGCAAAATAAAAAACTGTATATTTAATTCCAACTGTGTCATTTCATACCTAGTTAGCGATTTAATTATATTTTCCTACAACCTATACATATACTAACTATCAAAATTCTATCATCAACTATCTGATCTGCAAACAGGCAGGTTATTGGAACTGGTGTTAAGAGATACGACTTGAACTCAATAGTGTCGATATGAACTCTGTTGGACTGGTCTTGGCCCTACCATGTTCTGTTGAGCTTGCTGAGGAGGTGGAACTGAATGTTGCTGTTGAACATTGCAACCATTTTGTGCCACTCCTTTCGCAACAATTGTGAATCTTGATGGACTTAGTTGCAGTAAGGAGTAAGTTATCGTCACTACATAAGTATCTTTGTTCAAGTGCACTTTTGGAGTGGAGAAGAAGTTATTCACTTCCACGTTCACGTATGTTAGAACATGGCATGGTGGTACCTGTAACATATGATTGTGTTAATACTTAATTGATTGCTTCAATTTGTACTCCTATTAGGTCGATATGTGTCAAGCAGTACTAAGAAATGACACCTGACGAAAAACCGAAACCAGAATCTTTATTCTGTTTTTTTTTTGTATTTCATACAATAGCTTAAAATGATCTTGATTCTATTAGGCTATCTAGATAATCAGTATTTTCTAGATAGCCTAATTATTACGTAGAAAAATAATTTAACTCACTATTAATTGTATTTTTTGTTCTTTTTGGAATAACGTAAAACTGCCCTTATATACAGAAACTATAATGGCTGCCGGTAGTGTGTCAACTCCGAACTCCCATATCTGAGCGTGCACTGCATGTACAGCTGAGAGGGCGATACATAACAATATCACTTTAGATCCCATAGCACAATCACACGATGTCACCAAATATGTCCTAAAATGTCCAGTTTTTATTTTTATAAACGCCAAATAATATAATAATATGTATCCAATTACATTCACAATTTATTTCTATTATAGTTAAGTGAAATTGATTCGTTCGATCGCGATCGTTTAACTTTATAAAATGTAATTTGTTACACTTCGGTGTTAGTAATGAAATGTTGCTTTACAATGCCATTTTATTTGATTTCTTTGTCGAAACAAATCATATTTCACCGGACATGTAGTTTAGGATATTTTTCTTAAGAGATTTTAGCGAAGTTGGTAGTTTAGTACAATTCACATAGGAGATGTAGAAGCAACTTTAACACCTTAAAGTTAAGCCTTAAGTTTATTTTATACAAAATTGATCCAGTAATATGCTACAACTGTATACAAGAGAGTAAGATTACCTGAATGAATTAAAAATAGTTTAAACGGTACCTTTTAAGACACTTACCATTTTCAGGTCCACAAAGAGAACACGAACAGATATGCTACATTTGGCAGAAGCACTTTTTGAGGCACTAGGTACAGTCAGTCAAGTTATTGCCATCACTTAAGACGTCCACTGCTGATAGATAATTGCTATGCAGGTCAGAAAATTTTCAGATTGATTCAGTTATGTAACGACAGTAACCATTGGTTGACTATTGAGCCAGCTAATACGCGTTAAAAACCTACAATTTAGTGTAACCATAGCTACTGTCCCTGTACTTTTTTTATAGAACGCTATGGGAATCCTCATAGACTTCCCACGCCGTGGGGATGACGGGGGCGTCTGCAGAACTCTTACCGGCTAAAACCACCATGGTGTTTCTTCTCTGCCTGTGTCCGTGACCCGGGATTCCCTTGCGGATTCACCGTACCTGGCAGGCCTACTGCTATATACTGCTATATTACGGCAGGTCTCACCATGTAGCGGCTCCAGAAACTGCGATTTCTTTCCTCGAGTGGCGCGCGTGCAACAACGCTACCGTCTACGCCCATACAGCAGACGACTGACTCCCCTAATCAGTCGCCCGCTACTGTCTCTGTACTAAATAAATCTTTATTACCTCATCTGTATACCAAATGAATTGGCTGACTGTACGTCTAGCGAGTTGCATTCGCGTAGAGTATTTTCTTGAATTGTAACGTCTAGTAGAGGTGTTCCAAAGTTGTAACGTTGGTTGAATTGACACTCCCTGCTGTCTTGTAAAGTGATGATTATAAATCTTATTAGTATTTATGGCCCGCTTCACGAATGCACGTGTGTAAGAGTGCTGACGTTTTGTGAAGCGTGCCACCCGAAATGATAACCACGACCACTCGAAGCGTAACGACGAAGAAAAAGAATTTGTAGAATATAGAAATATCAGATGATTTCCAGCCAAGCCAAGTGCAAATGATTTCGTGCTGTAAAAGTTGTGGTTAATTTCGTGATCAACCTCGTGGTCGTCGTGTTGGTAATTCAAGATAATTCTCCATACATGCTGTTTAGCTATTAAGCAATTTGTAACTGTAATCCAAGTATATTACACCTATGTACCTGGTACGTTATTGCTAGTTTTCGATTTTTAGTCTTCAAAATCACACTACTAATGAGATGGCATTGACTGCTGGTCATGAGATGAGGGCTTGTTTGAGTCATCACTATTCATCTTCATATTTTGGAGCAAAATATTGTCTCTAATATACAAGTTTCGTTTGATTTGTGATTATCTATTTTATTGTTTTTCCAAAACCGAAACTTAGGGTGGAACTATCATGTGCATGTCTACGTATAACCAATATGCGATATAGGGGTATATACACACGACTGGTTCGCATCGGGAGCGAAAAAACCAACACCACCCGCACTGAATACTGAAAATGTTACTAATTTAACTCGTGACTTGTATCGAAGGGAGATCCTATGTTTGTGCCGGGGATTTGGATGCGGTATAGGGGTGCCTACAGTGGAATAATCTTTTTGCTATTAGCTGCATTTAAGTAATGGTATAAAGCCTTTCGTGTTACGGGTGTCCTTGGGCGGCTCCAATTGCTTAGCAATCCTTCAGGTTAGGTGATGTATGCTGCGCTATCACATAAAAAAATGAATTTTCCAAATGACTCAGTGTAGACCTTTGCACGTGCTGTTCAGTGTTCGTCATTCTCTGCATCACCCTAAAATTTGTCGGGCATAAAATATAGATGTTAACGGCATAGAGTCCACTTATGTATCACAATATATGGAATAAAAAAGAACGTTGGTAAAAATCTTAAGAAACTTACAGTTTTGCAGTCATTTGTCATGAATAATAAAATCGAAAGTTGAGAATCAGTCCTATTACATTAAATTTTAAGAAACATCACATCCAAAGCGCTAGTAACTGAATGTGATTGATGCACGTATGGTCAGTAAACGGCGTGTGTTTGCTCCGGGGCTGGCTTTTTGTCCGTCCGTGCGTCTCACGGCATCTACCCACTGTTTAGACCAAAGAATGAAACAATGTCAATATTCTTAGCTGGGGAACTATGTATTCGGATTATTTAGGTGAAGTTGTTCTTGCTTTTAGGCTATAAATATACTGAAATAATAATAAAGGTTATTATTGTTAAGAGAAAATATGGATAAGAAAAGTTGTTGTAGTTACTCTACTCCTGACTAGAAAAAGAATTAGTGTCAAAATGATCTTATCACTTTCTAGTCATCTATACACTGGTATTATTATTATGTTTTCGGCTTACTCACGTAATTATTTGACGAGAAACTCGACTAGTTTCAAGCCATGCTAGAGGATATTCATGAGCAGCATTTCGCGTCCCGCGACGCGGCGACTGTCGCGCTTCTACTCTTAAGAAACTTAATTTATTGCAGTTAGGTAAAATGTTTAGAATTGAGAATTTCTTAGCAATCAATGTGAAAAATGATTTTGGAACCAATGAAGATAAACGTTTGAGCACTTCAAGTTAGTCAAGCTCCTGGCTGAGCCAAGTTCTGATTAGGAAATGTTGCGTTATTGTTTATTACCTACAGCAGCCAGCCTCTGAATCATACAGAATTATACAGGAACACGACAAGGTAGGGGGCAACGTTGCGGAAGGCCTGCCGCGCGACGTCAATGTTGCACGCGTCAAGAATCGCGCGACAATGAAATTGTCCCGGCGAGTTCGCTGTTCTAGCAATGTGTGAGTAATTGTGCAAGATCATTACTCTGCCTGAGATTGTTCTAGTTTGAAACAGCTTCCATTTAAATGTTTACCATGGACTTTGTAGCTTGTCCGATTGATAAAAATAATGTTTAAAGTTAATTCTAAAATAAATTAGGTAATCTAAATGACGTTTTCTGTAATCATTTTACTAAACACTTCAGTTCTCTTTGTTAAAACCCTTAAATACTGTAAAGGTACTACTAGAATTTACAACATAATTTATTTTCGTCGGCAATCCATTAACCAGCACTTCAGGTAAATTATTTGGAACGTTACAATTTAATATATTTGAAGCTGTAGGTACGGTGCCGTGGTGCAAGTGCGCGGCTTGTCATTGTTCCCACACGGGCTCATCAAGTATGCGCCTCTGAATTTTGAGCGGCGTATTCAAACATGTCCCTGTAAGCCTCTACAATACGTATTTTATTGACGCTTCACACGATATTCCAGTAATAAATCATTTACGCATCTATATTTTGAAATGTTCTAAATTAACAAATTAAAATGTCTATACTCTGGAGTTCGGGTAATTCTAGCCAATAAATTATCTGTATATTAAAATTTCTGTAATTAACGTCTGGATCAAATATAATGCGTAATCAATTTAAAATAAGAGAAAATTTTAGATACATAGTAGATAGTAGATTAGCTGCATCATTTTATAGAAAACTCAAACAAAATGTGCCCAACAAAAAACAGTGCAACGTTAAAGCGTATCGAAAAACTAAGCACTAAGATTTCCTGACTTTTCCATTTACGAGAGCGACTAGAATCGTATTTTAAAATATAATACGCTTTTATTTTGGAAAATTCCGCGAGTGGCTCTGGGGAGAGAAAGCTAATTTCAATTTCATTTAGTTCTGGCGCCATTCCATGTGCCGGCCAGAGACCAGAGACTGTGGTACCACGGCCAGACTGGATTTTTACTTACCTGCAAAACTTGGGCATGTTGCCTCGCCCAATGACTTTTGTTATTTTAGCCTATTGTATAAGATTTGTGATCAATATATTGAGGTCATATGTTCTTTTTATTAAATAACAACTCATTTATTTAATACAACAGTTACAGCCTACTGCTGCTGCCAAAGCCAGTTTATCCACTCTGACGTCCGTGGATAGTACAGTATCCAAGAAAAAAGGAGCGTCATACGCCCATGGATACTATAGTATCCAAAGCGACGAGTTGTGTTAAATGCCCTCTAGTTTAAAATATGGTCTCGATTGGTGAGTTTTGACAGATTATCTATACAGTTGAATAAATAGTTCGACGAAAAAAATAGAGATGGCAGTGTAATAAGCTTTGACAAACAAAATATAATTTTTTAAATTCAGTTGACTCGTTTGACGCGCGTGTTGTGAAGTGTTTTTGTGAGTGCCAACAATTATGTCGTAAGTACTACAGTTTTGTTTTATTTATCTTGCAAGTGTTATACATCAAAATAAACTAGAAGATTTGTGCTTTACGATGATGTATAAATATCACAGTTTTAGCTGATAAATCTAGTCTACTTTTAACTTCAAACGATTATTGTTTCGAAAAAAATGGCCGGTCGTATGGTGTCTGCCACTTTTAGTTTTGTTTATACATATTTTACATACTTTGCATTACAATAGTATATAAAATATCGAAATACATTTCGTAATAAGCAAAATAATACATTTTTCAAAGAGAAATATACTAAATTCACTGAAGATTCCATAATAATGTCAATGTGTTCCTCAGGTTTTTTGATGTGGACTGTTTGGTATCCACGGACGTTACATGAAACGTGATAAATAAGGTTCGCTATACACGGCAAAATATGTTTGCATTATTTTTGTTTTGCTAGTGGTGGTATAATATTTTGCTTGAGATGATACTAATATTTAATATAAAATGCACTTTTGGGTTTTGTACTAATATTCATCATTTATTTTTCGCTTGGTTTCCGTTGGATATGTATAATGTTCTAATGGTTTTTTTTTGTTTTGAAACATTAATTACATGTTTGTTCGTGTTGATTAATTTCCGCTAAATGTAAAAAAATGCACTTGTGGATTTGACTACCTTTCTTTTTTACTGTTGCCCTTGCACGTGTTGCATGGTCGCATATATTTTAATGCTTCGCCAAATTTTATTTTATTCTTTTAACAATACTAATGTTTTAAATTATTCATGCAGATCACCAAATGAAAGCTTTTATGTTGAGGGAAATGGGGGAACTAGGGGACGTGGGGGAAACAGGGGACGTGGGGGAAACAGGGGACGTGGGGGTCGCGGTGACCATATGGAAGTGTCTACAATGCGACGTCAATCTCTGCATTGAAAATTGTTTTATGGCTTACCATATATAAATGTGTGGAA